TTGTGTGTACCTCACGCTTCAGCAAGATTAATACATGAAATACATATATTTTTGTATTCATATTAGTAGGCAAGCATTTCCTACGTCTTTCCTGTTGATTAGTGCAACTTACTACCATTCATAATATTGTTTGTATTGTATGAATTAATCTTGTGATATGTATTACTACAACTGAAATCATTGCATGGTTGCGCTGTTTCTTCAAGTTAATTATTATATTGTATGTTGTGTATTTCACACCACTGTGTGACTATATTGTATGACTTCGTGCAACGGGTTCTACTCAATGTATGATTGTATTGTAAGACTTATGTAACAGTAATACTGTCTATACTAATGCTGTATAATGTATAGTGTGATGCTTGTAATACTGTTTATTACAATGTTGTATGATTGCTTAGTACGAGAAGTGTATTACTGTCTATACTATTATATGATATTGTAGTTTGATGAGTGTAAATATGTCTATTATATCAATGTGTGATGTAATGTATGATTAGTGTTATACTGTCTATCATCATAATTATCACCGTATAATGACTGTAATAGTTCCTATTAAATCATTGTGTTGTGTTTATAGTACTTTATGGTACTATTATTATTCTCTTATGTGTGTGTCTGTCCATGTGCATGTGTGTGTCACTATGTAAGGGTGCGACCATGATTGTGAATGCATTTTCTTCTCTTTTCAATAGTGTTGAATTGTACGTGTATTGTTCGTTATTTGTGTAACTCTTCATTTCTGGAGGAAATAAAGGAAATAATAACAATAATAATATTGTTTCCTTTTTATAGTGTTCACTGAACGAGTAAGACTGAGGACTCGGCGGACCTTGTCCGAGAAAACCCTCTTCACATTGAAGAGGTGGGGATTTTATATATTTGTAATTATGCTGTATAATTAGATAAAGTGTAAACCGTAATTTCTATATAATATATAGATTGAATTAACAGTTGTAATAACATATTCAGCTATTGTAACTTATGTAACTGGCTACGGTCAGGTAGTTGTTTGACATGTTTTAAGTTTTATGTGATTGTACGAATGTTACAATATGTATATAGTAAGTTGATGTATTTCATGTTACAGGGTTTTTACACCTAATAAATTAACTATAAGTCTAGGATAAAGACGACTATTACAGATGTTTGTTGTCATTTGTGTACATTTCAATGATGAAAGATCAGCTGGTGATCGGCTTCTCAAAATTGAACAGAACGGAAGGTGGCGGTTTAACGAGGTTGTACTGTAGATCATACTGAAAAACATACTTTTGTACACTGCGGTCCCTCTCAAAAAGCAAGTCTTCTCGTACATGTTTTGAGTTTCGATATTTCATAAAATAAGATATACATTGTGGTGTTTTACTCTCTAACATGTACTGGCTGATGTCAATGTCACAATGACTTTAGTATGTTACACTGTATGACCCTTCTGACTATGTGTCCTCATAGCTCAGTTAAAGTAGAACTATAACATGATTCATACAAGCACTCTTTTTATGGCCCTCTAAGTACCGAAAAAGTAGTTCTATCAAACGTGTCCCCTGGTATGAAGATTGTGTTACTTCATGTGATATTACACGAAAAAACGGCCAGTCACATTGATATTATTATCGTATACTACAATATGGCCGCTCCCATAACAAATATATACGTTTCTGTTATAAAACCCATAAATGAATCCTACCAACCAAACATGTTGTTATAATTCAGTATAAACTATTACACGTGAATATTTTAAATGATCAAATGAGGACGGATATTCCCGATTGGTTTCTGATTGGCGTTTGCATTGTCTCCTGGGTGAAACTGGTAACCATAGAAACACGATCTTGTTCCAGAGCACTGGCTGTTCCGCCATTTGGTGAAGTGTATTTTTAAATGACTAAGGATGGAACGGCACCTTTTTATCATTTATGATGGTAAACAGCACAATGTTTCATTCCAACATATCCTCCAAGATGTAATATGTTTGAACGGAACTGTATTGCATACAGTCATAAATGATTAAAGTCAAGATTAGATTGGCATTGTTTAAGACAACAAACGTGTTGTATAAAAATGTCATTTATCTTCTCTTAAACTCAAGTAAACTTGTTATACTAGTAGCAGATCCTCGACACGATCCCGACCCTCATAGATGACCTGGACTCTCACTTCCTTGTTTCAGAGATATGTGCACTTTTCTTAAACTTAGGAATTCTGACCCTGCCCGTTTTAAATATCCTGCAGTCAACACCTACTCCAGAAAAGCTTTGGTGTGTCAACAAGCTGCCGATTTTATGCTTTATCTACAAGTGTGGTGTTTGTTAATGTGTACCAATTGTTTGAATAAAGATAAACAAACTGACGGAATTGTAATTTTGTTTGATAATCTTAACTTGTTTTAATTGTTTGCTGTTCCTCTTATACCTATCACTGCAGACATTTTAACGAGATCATGTCGTCTGATATATTGGTACAGCGCTGATATAAGTTTGGTATGTTTTATGGGGGTTGGTAAGTGTCCTTAGAAGTAGGGGCCACTAAACTCTTCTGATTTGACCGGGGTATCCTGCTTTTTCCTCTTCGATTGTCGTCTCCATTTCAAACCAACTGGGGACACCTGTCGCTAACACCAACTTTCCTACCATTTTTGCATTCATTACAGAACTCAGCAACTGGCACGTGTATAATTAATTTTGTTGAAATCTACCCATTAGTAAAAAGGTAGTTAATCAGAATGTAATATGATCTTCTGATTGCTGTGTGTAGATATGCACGGGTCGCATTCACGATCACCCTCAACCTGAGACATGTCAACATGTTTGTGCATAACGTATTTTGTTGAAATCGACCCATTATTAGGACAATTATTGCAGGGAAACCAGCAAGTCATTTTCAGGTTTAAAACCTCTTTAAGTATGCACGGATCATACCGACAATCAAACTCGGTCTCAATCATGTTTATGTCGATGCGCATACCAGATTTCGGTAAAATCATGCCATCTTTAGGGCAGTTATAGCAAGGAATTAATATGTGACAGAGGACAGACAGGCGGAAGGGCCCAAATTAATATCCAGTTTTCTTCAAAAAGCAGAGGGATAACAAATAACGTTAGTCACTAAACCCAAATAGGTGTTTTATTACTTACTATTTCAAGGGATTGTTCTGATTACTGACAAGTCACGGATAGTGGTAGCATCCATCAGTTAGTGACCACAGATGGCTCAAAGACACTATTGTCCACATGGGTCTAGACAGTTTTTCTAGAGGTCCTAGACTTGACTATCTGGAGGACAAGAACAACAGTTTGTACCATTATAGGTGAAAGCGTGCCTAAGAATAGTTTAAACCTCTCGCACTCAAGAAATTTGCAACTCCTTTAGGTCCTAAACTTGGATTGGGTTCCCATCAAACTGAAAAATTATCACTCTTGATGGGCATGTACACTTGAGTATAGTCGGCGAAAAATTGATAGGAAAGTTGGTGTTAGCGACAGGTGCCTTAGTTGGTTTCAAATGGAGACGACAATCGAAAAGTCTATATCGACTGGCTACCAGTAAAAAGATATGAAAAATTTAAGTGTTCATTACTTTGAATATTTTTGCCATAAATTGACAGGATGCTATTTAAGATTTGTATTTAATTATTGCTGTCACAATTATTATACTTTTACATATAAATATTTAACAAATTCAATTCTTCAGTGATATCTAACACCCTGGCTAATTCGATAATTAAATAAATCTTCATATTTGTCAGAGAAGGCAAGTTTTAACAAGGGTTCTGGATCACACAGATTTTTCTGGGTTTTGTTTTCTTTTTGCAAGGTTTTTTTCATTCGGCCTAAAGGAAAAGATCTTTCACTATTACCTCCTTGAAAAGGCTCAGACATTTATAATTACAAAGAGGTTTTTACAATTTTCTAATAGGAAAATCAATTACATGACTTGGATAACTGTTGATGTCTAGAATGGCAAACTGGATTTTCTGCTTCATGACAATTTCTGTGATTGCACAAGATTTAAAAGGAGCTGTCATATTAGCATTAGTGCCCTTTCTTTATATTGCATTATTGCTCAATTTGTTTTCAATACTCCATTTTTCATTCAATTATTATCGTTTGAGTTGTCTCCCCTTAAAGAAACTGAACTTGATCAATAATGGTTTAATTTAGTACATCATTATCACAAAAGACATGTTCATGCTCTAAAATAAATGTTCTTGTTCTAATGTCTGCTGAAGCTCAATCTAACAGTTGTTTCTGTCTGGTAACTAATGCCAGGAGCCCGGATTGTTATAGGGGTTACAGAAAATGATCATGATGACATGGTTTTTCATAGTATCATTACTTCAATGGCAGGGTAACTAAAATCTTGAACAGAGTTTGTACAGGAATTTTACTATAAAATTAAAGTCTTTTCTAGGTTTTTTTCCAGTTAAATCAAGGCCTTAAGTCTCCAGCCATTTTCAAATTTTAAAAATACAGAGACCTGGATGTGTAATCTGGTTGTCTCTAAACTCACCATATAAATACTTTACAACCCTAAAATCTTGGAGGATATTCCGAAAACCCCAGAATTAGTATACAGTCATAGTTTAATGAACATCTTGTCCAATTCTCGGCTCATTTTGATCCTTCCATGATTTTTTTGTTAAATTTAGGGGGTTTTAGGGCCTTTTCATTTATTGTTTGGACATTTCAAGGCTTAACTAAACCCTGTTCAATATTGTCTATTTTCATAATCTGTTTGATCTTTTGTGAAAACTGAGTGCTTTCATATTTCAAATGATTATCAAAGGAAAAAAGCATTTTTACACTTTAAGATGGTTAAAAATGGCCACAATTAAAATATTTGAGTTTTCAATCCAATAAGTTAATGGTGCTTTGAACAACAAGATCATGACACTTGTTGTTAAGGAAATCGTTAAGTTTTGCATACAACTATTTTTAAAAACATAAGAATAACCTTCTCCAATGAAATTAAAAAACTGAAGACATAATTAAGTCTAGAGATGATATTTTTAATGACATGAGAACAAATGAATTTCGAGAAATGATGTAAGTTCTGTCGATATTTGTCTATATTTCCTCTGCTGCCTTCCTCAATTATTTTCTAGACATCAGTCTTCTTTGGGTGGTTTAGATGATGCTACAATGAAGAAAAAAGTCAGAATAACAATCATATTTTCTTGGTCCATATTAGGATTCTAGCAATGTTTAGATAAATACTGTTTAATCTAGTTCTACAAACAGACATATTTAATTTTACCTTAATTTTAGGTTAATATAAGTGTAAATGACAATACACATGAAAGAGAATGGATAGACAATAACATACTCTATAAAAATAACTGTAAAAATCTAAATAAGCAGAGGCTCACATAGATATACCCCTACCCAATCCCTTTCCCTCAACCTCCCACCCCTCTTTTCCCTCGATCTTTGTCCATTTAACCTGGACCAATGGCCACCAAAATTTTAGGTGTATGAACTAAATGTATTCTGGGGTCTGTGAGATATCATGTGCACAAGCTTTTTACTAATGATGAATGATAAGAATTAGAAGGGGTGGGTTGTTTAAATACAAAATCTAAAATCACTTATAGGATATATCTTACATTTCTCATCCTACAATAAAAACTCTGTAAACTCACTCCTGCCTTACAGCTAGAACTTGTGTTCTCTAAACTCACTCCTGCCCTACAGCTAAAACTTGTGTTCTCTAAACTCACTCCTGCCCTACAGCTAGAACTTGAATTCTCTAAAGTCATGCATGCCTTACTACATGAACTTGTGTTCTCTAAACTCACTCCTGCTCTACAGCTAGAACTTAATGTTTCTACATTTATTCTTGCACTATAACAAGAATCTGTGATCTGGAAACTCATTCACGCCCTTCTTCTAAAACTTACGATCTCTTGACTCATCTCTGGCCTTCATCCTCTGTATGAATCCATGGCTCTTGTTCTTTCGGAACTGTTCAAACGGATCTTTGAGGTCAATCCCTATTCCTTTGTACATATCTTGTCGGTCACGTACATCACCACTCTCGATGGGGTTCACAATTCCCTGCTCGGCCGCACCCAGTCCTCGACCTCCCCATCCTTAAAAGTACCACAAAATGATTTTGTCAGTCACTTGTACATGCATTATATAACATAACATTTCTATACAGGAATGTAGGATCATCTCCTTGGTTAATACTATTATAATATTTTTCTCTCAATAAAAGAAATACAATACTTCTAATTCAGATTTAAGAGACAATTTCAATTTTCTTCTCTGTATAATCCAGTCTCATCATGTTAAACTAAAGAAATCATAGGTACATGAACTTCCCAGTTTTGTTCAAAACTTTTAAAACTCAGCATTTTTATATCACAAGATAAATTTCAAAACTGAATTTAACAAAGAACACCTAAATTCATGTTACACTTCTAGTTGTTAGAGAATTTGGAACAACATGGAATATTTTTTACGGAAATATTCATACTAATAGAGTTAACTTCCTTTCTATATCACAGTATCAGAACAAATTGGGGCCATAAGATTTAGTTCTATTCTGCAACATCTGGATAAGCACAAGAAAAATTGCCTAAATATTCAATAGCAAAGATAGGAAAAAACATTAGATGAGGAGTCGTGAAGATACATTTTTGTCGTCATCTTTACAATGTAACCTCCTAATAATAATTAATCAATGCATGCTTTTACTTTGATGAAGACATTTTTTAATAAAAAAAATACTTCATTTGAGTGGCGATCCTCGACTACCATATAAGTATTAGAAAAATTGCTACAATTTAACAGATTGTAACATTTCTATATGGTTATCTCCCCTTACCCATTTTCATGAGCATCTGGTGCCCTTTGTTGTCCAGTCCAAGCTTGGAATCTGTAGGTGTCGGAGCTGGACCGCCCACCCTCATAAAACTGTCTGCCGTATTGTTGTCAGTGCTGAAATCACAACTTAAAACATTACCTTTCCTTTCGCCACAAATGTATGATGACAAAAGGCCTTCATCACGTATCAGTGAAAAAATCATTGAAGCCAATTATACTCTTTAGGTTTTTTCTTATTCAAACTTTTCGATATCTGCATTTTCTCCACAAAAGCAATTAGTAATCAAACAGCTAAGTAGTGTGTCTCCATCATCCCAACCATTGAAGTGACTTCCTTGATGGTGTCTTTTGTTATATGTTAAACATGGTGTTACATGGGAAACATATAGAGGATCTAAAATGTTCCCATTACTTATCATTTTCATGGAACAAGATTAATCATTTTATCAAAAGTCAAATTGACAGGATACTGGATAAAGACTCTCTTCATCATACAATTACACATTCAGCCAAAGCATGTCCAACTTCAAAGTCATGTTTTACTGTTCTTTATGGCATTACAACATATGTAACTGTATGGTGGGAAATGTTTGCTCCATTTTGTGTTCATCCTTGAACAAGTGAGTGAATTCAAATTGTTACAAATTATAAAATATATCAACGTTACTAATAATAACATTACTACACTTTTTGTAATTTCATTCTTTGATCTGCTAGAACAATGCAGTGAGATAAAAATATACTTCATCAACAGAATTTCCTGCAAAATAATCGTAAATGGTCCAGACATATTGATATCTACATCGATTTATCAAATGCAAGTATTGTAGTCTCATGCAACTTGTACATAAATATGAGAAAGAGGCAGAGACAGACGCTCTCAATACCATAATACGTCCCATCAAAAATGTTGATGGGTTTACATCAACATTCTGGCTCTTGACATCTCTGTAGAATTTGTCGTTAAATTTTCTGAGCTGAATCATGAAGAACCTTGTACAGTCCCCCATTACTTACAATGTGCCTAGGGGTGGTGTGGGGCTGCGTGACAGTCGTTGTGTAACCTTGACTGGGGATGGGGAGCGACTGCTAGGAAGGTACGGCAGGGGGGACTCCGACCGTTTTACTGGCATTCTCTGCTGATGTTGTTGTGGAGGGGGAGGTGACCTGGACCTCGACCTGAAACACATGTCAGACATGGTATGATGGGAGGTAAGTTAGTTTCTATACCTAGACAGCTATATATTCCCTAATCAATGTCCAATACTTTGACAGCTATATACTACCAAATCAATGTCCAATATTTTGCCAGCTATATATTACCAAATCGATGTCTAATACTTTGACAGCTATATACTACCAAATCAATGTCCCACACTTTGACAGTTATATATTCCCCAATCAATGTCCAATACTTTGACAGCTATATATTCCCTAATCAATGTCCCACACTTTGATAGCTATGTACTCCCTTATCAATGTCTGATACTTTGACAGCTATATATTCCCCAATCAATGTCCCACACTTTGATAGCTATATATTCCCCAATCAATGTCCCACACTTTGATAGCTATGTACTCCCTTATCAATGTCTGATACTTTGACAGCTATATATTCCCCAATCAATGTCCCACACCCATTTCAGATTAAAGTTTGAAGAGGTTTATACCATGGAGCCCACTTAATATTGTGCAAAGTATAATATTTTTCCCATGTACGAGTAAAACTTTGCTAAATATTTTACCAACATTCTGACAGATACATGCTATTTTTATTACACTTATAATAATATGTATTTGTATTAATATCTCCCTGTGTTTACACATCTAATTACATTTGACAATCATTGGGGATTTCACTTCCAGTTTGGTCCACCTAAAAACGATGAAAGTCACTAGCTTAATTATTATAATAATCACAATTATTATGATATTTTTCTCTGGCATATAATATCATAGTATGTGGGTTCTACTGTATCACCTAGATCTGCTTTGTTGGTTTCCACTGTGATACCTCCACCGAGACTTGACTGGGGACGGTGACCTTGACCTTCGTTTTGAACGATCTGGTTGGTTCTGTGGTTGCTGTGGTTGCTGTGGTGATGGTTGAGGAGATGGTGATCTTGAGCTAGAGCTTGAACTCCCCTCAGGAGAGGGACCTCTCCTTTCTCTCTCCTGCTCCTTCAGTCGACGTGCCCGTTGTTTGGCCTTGAAGAACTCGTACAGACCAAGCTTCTCCCAACCCTCACTGAAACCATGGCAAAACAAGACATTAAGAAACTATTTTTAACATACACTGTAGAACATTCCATGCAGATGTTGAAAGTAAAAACCCTATCTGGTTATTGATCTCAAATTGCAAAATCTCACCAAATCACAATATCTGATTTGAAGTTGCAACAAAATTTGAAAAAATTCAACATCTACTCAAATGAAATCTAATACATGTACTTTAATTTAATGAAATGCCAAAGCCATTTGACAGACATGATATACAAGAGTTGTCTCCCCTTAGCTAGTATTTATGATATTCTATTTTAAATAACTTGATGAATAAAAAAAACCACCTATTTGTTGACAATAATTAAATGATGTGGACCTATTTCATCAAGTGATTGCTATCCTTCCTTGGATAGAGGAGAGATTTACCTGTCTCTAGGACGGTCATGGTTGGGAGGACTATAGAACGCTTCAACAGCAGCCAACAATCTCTCACTCGGAGGCATTGGGGGAGGCAAGCGGATATCCTTGGGGTCCAGGGACTTGTACTCATGGTCCTCTAGCTAAAGTAGAATGTATTTGATCTTTATTACAGCCTGTTACTGAAGAATAATTTAGAAACATATGACAAAACTACTACTGTTCAATACAAGTCTCATTTCCCCTCACAAGTACCAAAGGTTGCCCAATAATGCTAACTTTCAACAAGAAAATATAAACTGAAGTTTTACAAATGAAAAAGGCTTGATATTATGTCAGAACTGTAAAAACATTTTATATCGATAGGATTTTTGATTTAACAATGTAAACCTTGCCCTTTCTAAGAAAAAGAGAGCTATGATCAAAAATCAATATTAAAGACTTATTCTACTGGTAAAAAAAACTCTGTTTCCTACAACAACTAAGCATGTTATAAACCACAATGTTGTTACCTTTATAAGCGGAGCCATCAGTCCAGCTGGTAGCTCGTAGTATGGTACTGATGGGGTGAGGTCAATCTCAGGAGGCGGCCCTAGCACAGGAGGTGGACCGGGTAAAGGGAAACCTGGGGGAGGTTTGCTAAAGTCAGGGAGTGCAAACTGTCCTGGGGGCGGTGCTTGAAAGCTTGCAGGGAATGGAGGTGCTCCTATGGCAGTTGGTGCTCCTGGAGGGGCAGTGGAACCTGTACCCTGGGGTATTACTGGGGGTGCAATAGGTAGCCCGGGGGGAGCCACTGTAATTCCCTGTGGAACACCACCTATTCCCTGGGGTGCACCAGCTGAAAAATAAATAGTTTTGATTAGTAATGTTTGTTATTTCAAAATTTAACCTAAAAACACCCTCACATGTAGTCAGCTGGTTAAGATGTTTTTTACCTGTATTTTATTTTGTTCATTGTTATAATAAATAACAAAAACAAAATCAGGAGATACATATTTGAAAGCATTGCTGGCAGTTTTTATGCTGGCAGTGTTTCACAGTTGTGATTTTGTGTTTTTTATTTATTACAAAAACTTACAAAATGGAATACAAGGAAAAACATTCTAGCCAGACAAAGCATGCGAGACATAACTTCCCTTGGTGGCTTCAGGCCTTGGGGTCCAACACCATAAAACACCTACTCATTTGAGATATTTGTGTGCACACAACTTCGTCCAAATCAGACCGGAAACTAATACAGTGATGACTAATATTTTCTTTTTACAGCAATTGACTTTGAACTTTGATCCATGATATTTAAATGCAAAATCATTTAAGGTATTTGTATATTTGTTACTTGAATTAATTTTTTTTGCTATAAAAGGAAAAGTGCAGGTAGTGGAGACTAAAAATATACTCTGCTCACAGAAGTCAAACTGTTGAGGAGGTGGGGCCACAAATCCAGGGGGCGGGGCTCCAAATCCTGGTGGTGGCTGGTTAAACCTGGACGTCTGTTGTTGGGGCGGACCAGTCTGGAAATAGCATGTTAACACACAAATGTGATTTATTCTGCCACTGCAGTCATTTCATGGTATACCAAAGGGAGATCATTCTGCATGCAGTTAAAAAGGTCTTATATTTTACCCTTTCAATTTGTTTGATTCTATAAAGATGAAATAAGTTGCTAAGGTAAACCTTACAAATGTTTATTTGAAAGAGTAATGACAGGTAAGTATATATTTCTCTAAAACTCTCATATCAGCGTATATCATTTATGAACGTGCTATCACTTACAATGAAATATTCTCAAGAAATTCCTCCTCTCTGCTGTCATATTCATCATTGACATGTAGATATTCAAATTACTTGTGTGCATTGTATGTGCTGTGTATCATATCATATTTCAAACATCTATGTAAAGAGAACTCAAAAGTGTAAATATAAAATGAGTGTAGATCTGTGTTAACATAAACCTTTTTAATTATCACTCTCCAAAAGTTTTATAACAAATTCCTACAGAGTTGAATATCTAAGGCTAATGTGACAATCGACACCTGACCTCACCTGGATTGATTGTACCGTGGTGATCTGTGGGGGCGGTGTGGTCATCAGACCTGTGGAAGTAGGGGGCAGTGAGGAGGTGACCACACTGGCCGGGGTCATACCCGAGGGTATGGAGGTGGACAAGAGGGGCGGCTGTGAGGACACCTGAACAGCTGATATGACTGGAGCAACACTGACTGTCTGGGGAACACCTGTAAACGGAGTCAATAACACTGGTTATCAATGTTGATCATATCCATATCATAAAACACAAAACCTGCCAAATCAGCACAAAAATTGATAAACAAAAGATCATTCATGGGTACTTTCTTTTGTATTTTATAAACTATTTTCCTGATACAAACTTTCAAGGTCATGATATGTTTTTACATATTTTAATTTTAGTCAAGTTCATTGTTTATACACTTAATAATATATTCTTGGTTTAACTTCAAACGGAAAATCCACAGAAGATAGCAGGTAAAGTGAAGGTTATTCAGCATCCTCAACATTTCTACCAAATCTACCCTGAGGTAGTCATACAATAAAACCTAAAACTGTATCACAAAAAATAAATCTTTGGAACATTGATAGACCTGGCATTGGCACCCCAGGAAGTGATGTGAGGGGCTGTGTTCCTGGGGCGACGACCACGGCAACAGCCTGTTGCTGTGCCTGTTGCTGAGCCTGCTGCTGTTGCTGGACCTGTTGCTGTAACAGCTGCTGTAGCTGTTGTTGCATCTGTTGTGACTGGCTGTTGAGATGGGAAGTGAAGTCCAGGTGCTGTTTCTGAAGCGAGCTGTACTGCTGCTGAACATTGTTGCTGACCATACGTACAATGTCTCCATGATCAGTAATCAGGGCTGCCTGGTATGCGGACAATGAGGCTGCTGGTTCTCTCAGTTTCTGGAAGGAAGAAAACAAACTTGAGCATTGGAAGACCGACTAGAGAAATACTTAACACACATTTCAAAAAAGAACATAATTAGATTAACAAATGAAACAGCAGTTACATAGTCAAAAAATTGTTAATAAGACAAATTGTTAATGTGATAAAGCATTCCTGATGAATAAACACAGCAATTATTGCAGTCCTAATTATTTCAATAGAGGTGAAAACAATAGTACACCAAAGATATCTTGTGACAAATGTCCATTTAAATGATTATACATCATCCTGCGCCACCTGTAGTGGTCCACAGCCTGAATACAATATCATCTACTGTACATCAATGTGGAAGGATGAAATGGTTGATAGATGCAATTTGAATTATTTTTATTTAAAATTCAAACTCCAACAAAAAAGATAGGACAGACAGGTGAGGATTTTAAAAGACTATCAGAGTTATCTTTCTTGTCCCACGAGTTACTGGTCACTGCAGTATCATAGGCCTGATAATAGTCAAACTTCTTCTGAAAACTGCTCCCTCAATGTTCAGGATGAATTTTAACTGAGAATATACAATTAAAAAAAAATCGTTTTTTCTTTTCTTTTTTCTTCAAAGAAAAAGTGTTCGTACCTGCGTTACTTGCCTTAGAAATTATTAATCTCAAAGAATTATGAAATGGTGTCCCAATCAACAATTTACAGCAATTTTCAAAGAGATTTTGAAATAGTGGCACTCTTTTGATAGAGTTATCTTTCTTGGCATACAAAACCGGTTTACATGAGAAAAGGGCATGGTCAATGAGATCAAAACACTTGAACCATATCATATACCCTATTTTCAAAAGTAATTTTCCAATCTACAATTACTCTTCACTAAAAATGTTTGTAACTGCTACAAAAAAAAGAATTCCACAAAAATAATGTTAAAAGTAAGCAATAATCATAGATTTTGTTTTTGGATGGCATCATTTTGTTATATAATCTGTTATTCTGGGAAGAATACTCTGAGTTTTAAGGAACTTGCTATGGATACTCATTGTCTCAATTACAAGTTTAATTTGTATGATTTGTCGGATGGTTTCCCATAAGTAAATGAATAAACTTGTGGATTATGATGTTAAACAGCTAGTGTTGTCAATAACATTTGGAGTAAGACGGCATTTCAGAGGTATACACGGTGGGTCAAGGGGTAGATCGAAGCCGTCCAGTATACAGTTTTAGTGAAGTTTCTATTTATAGTAACAGGGACCTTTGACCTTCGGACCTGAAAAGCAATCCCAAGCAAGCACTATTGGTAAGGAAGCATGCACTGCATGAAGTTTGAGTTTGATCTGTCAAAGGAAAGTCAAGTTATCGCACGAAATCAAATTTTCTATTTGTAGTAACAGTGACCTTGACCTTTGACCTTCGGACCTGAAAAGCAATCCCAAGCAAGCATTTGAGTTTGATCAGCCCAAGGAAACTCAAGTTATCGCACGAAAACAGATTTTCTATTTATAGTAACAGTGACCTTGACCTTGACCTTTGACCTTTGGACCTGAAAAGCAATCCCAAGCAAGCACTTTTGGTAAGGAAGCACTGCATGAAGTTTGAGTTTGATCGGCCAGGGGAAACTCAAGTTATCGCACGAAAACAGATTTTCTATTTATAGTAGCAGTGACCTTGACCTTTGACCTTCGGACTGAAAAGCAATCCCAAACAAGCACTTTTGGTAAGGAAGCACTGCATGAAGTTTGAGTTTGAATGGCCAAGGGAAACTCAAGTTATCTCACGAAAACATATTTTCTATTTATAGTAACAGTGACCTTGACCTTTGACCTTCGGATTGAAAAGCAATCCCATGCAAGCACTTTTGGTAAGGAAGCACTGCATGAAGTTTGAGTTTGATCGGCCCAAGGAAACTCAAGTTATTGCACGAAAACAGTTTTTCTGTTTATAGTAACAGTGACCTTGACCTTTGACCTTTGGACCTGAAAAGCAATCCCAAGCAAGCACTTTTAGTAAGGAAGCACTGCATGAAGTTTGAGTTTGATCAGCCCAAGGAAACTCAAGTTTCGAAAACTTCTGTTCGAACGTCGCTCAGGACGCTGACGCCGACAAAGCAATATCTATGTGTCACCAGCTTTTCGCAGGCGACACAAAAATCATTGTGTTAGATATATGTCCCATTCAGTGTGCTCAAAGCTCTGCTTCTGTACAGGTGTCTGAAGGCTTCCTATGTAACATCAAGCCACAAGATCCTAAACTTCCACATTAATGCAGATACTCACATAAAATGTTATCTACCTTTTGATAGTATGCATAAAAAATTGGCAAACTAGGGTATGGGAAGACAAGACGTGAACTTCAAAACTTTGACTCGATGGTTTGAAAGGATGCAGCATCTAGTAAATCAATTATTCTAGGAACTGCACTACTTTTATCCTTACCAATCATTCTGGTAAAAACGACCATACTTATTTTGTTGCAAAGAAGAACCTAATCTAATATAGTTTTTCTCCTTTTAAAAAAATATGTATAATGACAATGCATAAAGCTTTGACCTTTCTCAACATTTGGTTATCTCCCCTAAAGGAGGGGTGTTTTCTCCCTTTAAAATTGCATGATTCACACTATTTTCAATGTTTAGGACATGCATTTCAAATTATGGTTATCTCCTTTTAAACAGTATGCTCCATTGTATCATTTACATTACTTGGACCTTCACAACGTAATCATCTCCCCTTTTCACAGTATTTTTTAACACATCACCGATAAGCCTGAAACCTTCAAAGTTACACAATTATGTCCCTTTAAATAGATATTTTCACCACATGAAGGACATATATGATCACCTATAAGCCAGAAAACTCCCCCGATGTATAATTATGTCCCTTTAAGCACAGTATCATCACATGACCGACAAGCCTGCAACCTTCCCCAACGCGTGATAATCTCCCTTTTGATAGTATGATTCACCACATCACCAATAAGCTTAGGACCTTGTCCATTACAGTCAAAATCATGTGCTGTAATTCTAATTATAGCTGATAGCTCGGGAAAGATGCTCATCACCTTTGGAAACAAAGATGTTGTTGTTGTTTATTTGGAAATAATCAATGCTGCACACGTCAGATCATGTGAGGAGAGTTAACGTTGTTAATGGTCTGGATCAGTTCTGTAATTGCATCAGTCATGCCATGCCATTCCAATAGATCCGCTTATCACTCTGTTTGTAACTACGTCTATATGTAAAGGTTTAAAATCTATGAAATTCTTTTCTGGAAAAACATATATCTGACATTTCCAAGATTGGGCGATAGAAATTTGAACTGCTTTAAAGTTAGACTTTATTAATTCTACAACAATCATGAAACAAAGGTTTCTTAAATTTAATAATCTCTATTGTTAGCCCATATGAAAGCACACAGGGGTTATAATTCAGTGGGAGGAAAGTGGAATATCTGAGGAAGCTCAGGTGGGAAGGTTAGCAACCCATACCTTTTCACATCTGATTGAGGAATCAAACCACAGCTACTTGGTGGAAGATGTACATCAACTGTGCCACCCCACCAGAGCTGTTTTGTGCAGCAAGATACAGAGGATGCGGAGGTATAATTCTAGAGGACTGTGACATAGCTTTATTGAACGCGATAACACAATAAGATACAGCATGGTGAGATTAGAATGCTGAACATAGAATTTCACCACAAAGCAAGCAACTTCATTATCATAATGAAAGATATGTTAAGGAACCAAATTTATAACCAAACCAAAGTGTGAAAATTCAAAGGTTATCAAAATTTAGAATGCCAAATTAATACATATTAACAATCTAATTTAAATAATCACGAAATATAAGTAAAACAAATAACACTTTATTATTAGTAAACATAGAATTTTACAACTTTGTTCATATTTGTCTTAATTAAAGAATATAAACCATCCATGATTTTTTTTAAACCCTAAACCTGACACTGCTTCCTGTAACAGAACTCCGTAAATTATGTAATCCATCAAAACTTTTCTTCGGCTACTTTTCAGAAACCATTCGAGAGCAAATGATCGTTGAGAACTTCCATTGACGTCACCGTTGCTCAGGTGAGGAGTAGAAACTCGGAAGTATCCATTTCAAAACATAATGTACTTGCAAATAGTTCAGGAAAATTAAAGTCAGTCGCACACAATTATTCCAGCTGTGTTCTATTCGTGCACTGAGAACTCCCTGTTGGTGTTAGGTATAACACAAATCCCAGGTATAAACCCAACCTGGCAAAAAACCATCACAGAACTGATTTAAACCTGAGCTAGAGGAATCAATTTCATCACGTACAGGATTTAATCTAGTTAACATGCTGGTACTGAGCTTCTGGATTTAGCAACCACTTTTACTTAGACACGAAATACTAAAATTATGTGTTGGTTTACCTGGTCAAATTTTCCATTTTCATAAGACACCATTTATCTGAAAACTAGTATTCTTTATATGATTTATCCAAAGTTAGCTTTTTCTGTACTTTTTTTGGCAATATGATAGCTAGAATCATTTTGAATCTGAAAGCAAGCATCAGGTAAAAGTTAAGGAAATAGCTTAGGAAATATGCTAATGAGACTTAGCAGTAAACAGTTTATGAAACACGCTGATGATGTTTTTTCAGTCAACAGGTGCTGTGTGTGGGTGTTTTTTATACTAACCTACTACATATAGCTATTTACAAGCAAAATCTGGCAGCTGAGCTATCATATGAAATGTCACATTTTTTCTGTAGGATTATATATAGATATAAATATATCGAAGCATGTAAAGGGAATTTCTGGGGATTTTAGGAAAACATGATATTAACTGAAATGTGATATTAAACAATGTGACATTGAAACCAATTCACTGTATCTGATAGTATCAAACATGTAAGATAAATGCTGCTTAACTCATTCAACCCTGAAGACACATTTGAACTCTTCCAATTCAAAGGTTGGAATAGTTCATTATGAAGTTTGGTGAGTGAATCAGTTAATAAACATGGGGGGGGATTCATTT